ACATAAAAAGGGGGACACACGCAAAAATAGGTAAGCATAAAACAGGAGTAAAACAGGTGGTCATAAATATCTGATTCAGGATTTCTGTACAAAGGAAAATAGAATCTTAATTCTTTAAAACAAAAAAGGATTTTCTCGTAAATTATCGACGGATGCATGTTTTAAGACGAATTAGGAGAATCACAAAATTACAATGCATAAATTACTAGCTCTTCTTGAAGTAAAAAAAAAAAGGAACAGGTGACTAAATGTTTTTCTTCCTGATTAGAAAAAAGGAAAGTGCAAAAACATAGTTGCAGTCATAAAAAAAGTATGGAAAATCTTTTCGAAAGTGAAAGTAAAATTTTCAAAGTAAAAATTTGTCATCGTCACATACATCAACAATTAAAATGTCTAATCTAGATTCGAAGCAGATGCAGTATTTTCAAACTGTTTACCAATCTATATTCGATATGTTGTTGTCCATCTTCAACTAAATCTCTTCCTTTCCCTAATTTTATTAGGTATCGCGGGTTTATCACGTAGCTGTAAAACAACACGAATCGAACGCAATGAATTCACGCAATTATCCGGAAGTAATATACAGCCAAAAAATAACTTTTCGAAAGCAGTGTTCTTTCAAAGGCAATTATTATTTTTACATTCACAAATTTCGAATTTCGCACAAATTTTATACAACTATTCGTTGGATATTATTTGTCCCTTTCCGTATACAAAACATATCAGGATTTTAACATAAATCTAATTACCTTTCTTTGCCGCCGCAGCTACGCGCCCTGCGTCTTGCATTTGAATTTTCAGGAGCTCCATTGGAGTTGTTACAATAATTTGACATGCTCCTGCTAGACCTCCGGCAAGCATCTCACGTTGTATTGGCAGCTTCTGTCTGTGCAATAAATCAGTAGATTTGTATATTTCTGTTATAATAATGATAAAAAATAATTTCCTGATTCGATCATAATCAGAATTATTGCTCAGAATACATTTTCATTAAAACATGAATCAACTTATATTTCTCTCTAGTACATTTGATATTTAATCGTTATAATTGCTGAGAACTTAATTAATATCAACATTAAGAAGGCAATACCACACGTTAAAAACATTTACCGCGCGTAGTTGTACACACATTGTAAGATACATATAACAAAACTATATATAAAAAAGATATATATAAAAAATATATATCTGTATATATGTAAGCGTAAATACATATATGCAAGACGCGAATTTAAAAGGAGAATACGTTTTTTATCAGAACAAAGTTTCTTACCCAGGGCCGGTGGACAGATAATGACGGAACGTATCATTGGCAGTGAGTTTGATAGCTTTCTCAGGAGTGATCAAAAGAATATTTACACCAGATCCTTTGTACATGCCAAAATAACCCTCCGACCTATACGTTTTCTTAAAACAGTCTAGCCTGAAAGTATATCATACTCAATTACTTATCGCAATATCAAAAAGTCGGCTGATCGATCATTAAAAAGAAATATAAACAAATAATACGAAATAATAAAAATAAATGAATGTAAAATATTTATATTATTATTTATTTATTTATATATTTATTATATTATATGTATATTACAAATTACTTACATAGATTTGTACATTCGTTCCCCATTAGGGCCGATAACTTGATTCTGTAATCGTGTTTTAACCAAGTCCAATGGGAACACCACAGAGACACCGATAATACCCGCGATTCCGCCATTTATAATTTTTGGTAAGAGTCTATAATTAAAATGATACACAATAAAGAATCGTTGACAAATTTTTTTTTTAATAATTTATATTTATTAAAAGAATGTACAACAATTTGTTTATTAAACAATTATTTTATCATTACATGAAAATTGAAATTCATTAAAAAATTTGTATCCCTAAAATACTTACTTGAATTGTTTCGGAGCTTCCACGCTGTCCTTCTTTTCCATTTGAAACTACTGTTCAAACTGTCCTCCCTGTTATACAATTATATTCTTCATTGTTTTTGTATGTACATTCGAAATAATTACATCTATCTACATAGTGTGTTAGAAATACAGGAGCTGCATCTACACATTGAAATAACTAAAAAATTTCATATATATATATATTATAATATAATTATATTATAATTATACGTAGAACACTTAATATGTAAATTCAGCATCTCAAATATCGACATGTATTTTTGACACACCCTGTATGCAGTACATTAAAATATTTTGCTACCCCTTAGATGTTTTTACCTTCCATACCGTGTGTTTGATCGTGAACTTATATTAGTATTTATACTATTGTTTTAAAGAAATATTTCAAATACTTTTAGTGCATAGACATTTATTTCTCGTGTGTAACGTTCATCGACGCGCTTTGGTCTATCGTAATACATGATAAAGTTTCAAGTGATCATAAGAGATTACAGATATTTTCTCAGTACATATATATCACACAACTAATCAATCAGCATAAAGATAAACATAAAGTTGATGACAAGAAGAAAAAATAGAATTACGCAAAAGTGTGTTCGTAGTCTTTTAGCGTGCAAATCACGTGCGTGCGCGCGCTAAATGTAAACACCAATGTATACGGAAATTATTTGTATCGTGAAGACACGCGGAGTTACGCAGTTACGTACTAATTACTCAATTACTTATCTGTGGAGGGACAGTATGTAAACACTGGGTACACATATATACATCTGAACGGTATACATGGTATATTATATAAACGGTCGTCGTTCTGGCAGCGTTTAGGGGTTGCTATTACAAACCCCTCTGCAGAGGAATACGACATGACCTAGAGAAACACATCGATTTCTTACCAAAGTCCATGCTTCAAGGGGCACATACCAACAACCAAGCAATTACAAAAATTACTTGTCAATGTAACAGTTACTTTCTCATTTTTGAAAATCTTTTCTTTTCAATATGTACCTCGAAATGGAACACTCTGAAGTTAATCATTTTTATTTGTATAATTTCTGAACGTTAACAAGGAAAATAATAATATAATAATATATTATACAAAATAATAATATAATAATATTATTAAATATATCAAATATATTATACAAAATATTATTAAAATAATAATATATAATATAATTTCTGTTAACGTTAACAAGGAAAAGAAATTAATTGTAGAATTAATTAACCGACAGATTACGTAGCTGTACCCTATCCATAATTTTATAATCCTTCAGTTGTTCCCCATTAAACAGTTTCAATGTCTTCGCAATGTTTTCGGCAATGTCTTCGTCAGAGCAGAAGAGGTTTCTATAGAAGAGCAGATCGATTTTTCCTAAGAGAATGCCCTCATCTTGAGCACGATTAGCAGCTGGTTTTTTATACTCGTACAGCGAAACAGGTCGATCGAAAACTGGTTTTAAACGTGAAGAATATTCGAAACAATTAATATTTACGTGAATCTACAAAATTGTTCTATAGCAACGTGTGACGAACACATTCCGCATTCGTAAATATTCCAATTGAAACGGTACATATATGTAATTATATACCTTTTTTTTAAGTAACAGGATCAATTCAATTAAGAACGGCGCGCAAACAATACGACTGTAGCATATACATACAGCATGACTATTCTACTAAAATCATTTTTGACGACCACGTGTGACCTATTTGTGCTGGCAAACGAAACTACGATAGTAATGGGCCGTAATTTAAAACCTTGCGAAATTTCGACTTTTCTCTGTTTATCGCGACAAAATTTACGAATTTTTAACGCATGATCTACCCCAACTCCATTGTCATTGTCAAATGATAACTTTTTTCCATTGTGACTGCATTCAATTCAACAGATCTCATTGTTGCATAACTTCCCATTTTTGGAATGGTCATAAACTGTCGTGAATTAAAATTGCTCCACAACTTTATGCTATGTTATATTAAGTGTATATTATGTAACAAATAAAGTGCGTATAACGAGATTTGTGTAATGAAATTACTTTATCCATGTTACGTACATTAATCTCGGTAAAATAGTAATAAAAAACTGAATATATTTCAATGATGCTGAAACGTGCGAAATGTATATTAAAATTTTGTTTCAAGATTATTGACAAAATAGCGTAAAATATATTAAAAGTTATAAACGAATAATAATTAAATAGTCATGAATGAATAATTAAGAACCCAAACGTAACTATAGGTACAACGTGTAATTCAAAAAATAATCATTTAATGACTGAACAACCGAATGTAAATGAAGAAGTAAAGAAAAACAATCTTTATCAAACAAAAACGTGCAAACCCGTTAATTATTGAATATGCAAATACTTTGTGGACAGTAATCTAGATTGAGTAATGATCACACAAACATATAAAAGTGTGCACTTGAAAGGTTAGGTTTAAAATTCTGACAAACCTTGATAATGCATTTCGATAATTAGCGATAGTTTATAATCAGCAGGGAACGGTAGAAAAGAATTCTTCTATTACAGAAAACTATCTACGAAACGTTTAATTGTTAAATGTTTCAAATTAGCACTAAGATAGTGTCTTGGTAAAATAGGTTGCTTGTCGAGCAAAAAATTGATAGCGCGAAAAATTTCGATACACATGATTTGTTGGCAAACAATGAATTGTTCGTAAGTTAGTACAGTGGCATTAGAATGACAGTCAACCGGAAATTTAGCAGAAGACGTACTCACCGATCGAAAGTGGAGAGTGTCGCTTACGATTCTTGTGACTGTAAAACACTTCTTATCATCGAAAGCAGTGATAAGAATGGCAAAGCAAGCTCACTCTTCCGCGGGCAGAGCGACTAGCATGATACCCTGCAGATTTCGTTCTCGCCGCGAATCTTAAAAGATAAAAGAGAACTTGGTACGGTCCACGGGTGGAATCGTTCTACACGTTCACTTACGTCAGAGACTATGCACCAATCCCGTTTCTACAAAGTGCGACAGAGTACAGAATAACAAGAGCGAGAAAAGTATATGTTTCGAGAGGGATGATGGTCCCATTCTTTTCCTCTACATGTTTTAAACGACATGAATTAGTATGTATATAACAAACTGTATTTATTGAAAGTATATATCACATAACATAGATTGATCAGGAATCTTACCAAACTATCATAGTCCCAATTAATGTTTGACTGAAATGTATTATAAAAACTTAAAACTTCGTTGAAATTTATATATAATTTCAAAATTAATAATCAACAATTGGACACTATAAGTAAGAAAAGTGATCTGAAATATTTAACATCGTTTGAAAACAATTACCTTTTTAAATTTTGTAAACATATTCACAAATCAATTATCAATTTGTCAAATTTTAAAAACTAGCAAAGCCAAAAGATTATTATTATTATAAAAGGTATAAATTGTTTTAATTAAAGAATCAAGCGCTTGAAATATATATAACAGCGGTATCTAGCGACAACGTCTGTAACGTGAATTGGCAACAACTTGAACGTTTCGCAATAGATGACGCCATGGTTCATTTTAACGTGGCGGTAGTGTCGCGATCACGTAACTTCCGTTTCTGTTATATCTCCAGAACCGGGTATTTTGTTTCAGATAAATCGACTACATACGTACTTTCTTGTCCGACCACGAAACCGAAAGCACTGTTATATCCAATCACAAAGTTGTTCAAGTAAAAAAGGTTTCCAACGGTGTCGCATCCAAGTCGTGGCTCCCTTGAAGAACGTCGCATCTTGCATTAACGTTTCACGGAGTATTAATCTGACCTGCGCGCACGCAGCGTACCGCAGTATCTTCGAATGTTGAATAATCCATTAAGCGATTGTCTTGCCAAAATAACGATTGCATATCGAATAGACGACAATTGCTGTATATTTCGACAATGAACTTTTAGAGACCAAGAATTAAGTACGTATGTACATAGTGCGCGCAATAACTTTGTCAGAAGATCTTGCGCATGCGTAGTTATTAACCGGGTGGAACAGCTGGCGCTCCTTGTCTTTGTGTTTGATCGTACCTCACGTATGTTACATATGGCTGGCTGCGCGTTTCACTTTTGGTGATCTGACACTAACACGCTACATATAAGCGATACTATTGGTGGATCAGGAAGATTTGTAATCATTAATATTTTTAAAAAACAAAACCATTACAGCATAACTGTAAAACTATGGAACTTAAAATATTTAACAGATGTTATCGAACGCCCTGTATATAATAAGTACATTAGTGTTGGTTCCAGTTTCCAAATGGAATTACATTGTAATATTGTACATTGTATTTCTGTCCGAAATACCTCTGAAGGTTGACAACAAATTGTTATAATTTTCCAAGATAGTACAACGTTTTTCTCATCGAACATTTTAAGAAACTGTCTAGATTTTGAATACATCATATATAAATTAAATACCGGTGATGTGATTACCTGTAATTACTACTGGTTTAAAATGCCGGCAAAGTGTTTCTAAATATTTATTGTGAAAGATTTATTTTTTTAATAAGCTCCGTACATATATTAATTCGTGTATAAAACAGTGTAAGTGTGTAACGTATTTAAGTAAAAATAAAAAAGACGTTGTACTAACCTCACTTTTGTTTTATGTGTAGGATACGTTTATCAATTTCGCGCGAACAGATTATTTTATTTTTTATTTCACGTTATTAAACAAACTACTGTGTGATGGATTCGGTACAATTAGGATCTTCATCTGAGGATGAGGATGACATATATCTAAATTCTGTTGCAAAGCTGAACGGTATGAAAATGAATATTGAATAATAATCAACTTTATTATCAAATTGTTATAAGTTTTTATATCTTTCAAATTTAACCTTTTTCGTATTATCATTACCGATTAGTTATTATTAATGAGATAATTAAAAAAATTATTTTGCATGAACCAAGAACATGTAATTTTAAATTAGAAAGTGTATTTGTATTGCTAATAAATACATGTTAACATATTAGAAATCGATAATTGATGCTCTAAAAATTTGTATGAAAGTTTGCTGTTTTTATTACAAAAATTTATTACAAAAAATTTTTTTACAGCTTTAAAAAAGCTAGCACCATTACATCCTAACAAAGAGGCTGTCAAGAAGAATGAAGAAACAATAGAAGAACGGATAAAAGGGTTCATATAAAACAAATCTTATAAGATATTACTATTTTAAAAGTTTTTATACATAGAATATGTTAGAGCTTTATTTAGACTATTCTATAAAATCGTTTTTCATTTCAGAATTGATTCTGAGGATATTGTATTAGCAGAAAGGCAACCTATAAACACGAAATCCAAAAAAAACGTATCAGGTCCCAGAACAAGGAAACGCAGACAAGTAAAAAAGTTTATATAAGATATAATTAATGCAGTTTTATTTTAGTAAAATTTCTATTAATTACAATTTAAAATTAACTTTCTTTAGGAGATAAATTCAGTAGACCATGATTCAGACTTGGAAATTGTTTCTGTAGAAAATGAAGTAATTCTAGTGGAGGAAAAGACTAATATTGTTGAGGAAAAATCAAATCCAATATCAGGAAATGATTCATTAATTGTAGAAGAGGTTGTAGATTCTTCTAGTGAAGATGAAAATTATGATGTAAATATCAAGATTCTTTGGCGATCAAAAGATGTGCATCGTTTGAACATTTGTAGAGTATGTAATTAAAAATGTATATGTAGATCGAAATTTATCAATTCAATTATATTCTATTACTATGTTTTAATCGAAGTTAATTAATGAATTATTTACATCGTTTCAGAATGAAAATTTTCGGAAAATTTTTGAGTATTTCGCAAATCTGGAAAAAGTTCCTATAGATGACATTTTGATAACTAAAAGGGATAGAATGATTAAAAAAACTGATACGCCGGTTTCTATAAATTTATCCGTAATCGATATACTTGGTAAATTGATTATTATACTTTAAATGAAAAGTGAAATCTTTCATTATGTTTTCATTACATACAAAGTAAATATATTTTTGTAGAAGGAGGTGTGGTAAAGAAAGATAGTACTAAAGAAGAGGCATTGGATGAAGATGTTTGTAGTATAAAAGTACAAACCACAAATAAGAAGAATCTAACAATATTGGTTAAACGTGATGATACTTTCAAAAAGTTGTGGCAAAAATGTGCAAAAGAATTGAATGTCGAGGAATCAAAAATGAAATTGTATTTTGATGGGGAACTGATAGCAGTTACAGATACTCCTCACTCATTAGATATAGATGACGAAGCTTGCTTTGATCTTCGATTGTCTTCCTAGTAAAATTATGTCTATTTATTTAAATATATTTAATAACTATATCATAAAAGTAAAGCAAAACGAACATGAAAAACTGTAGAAAACATTTTTTAATTTTTTATAGAAAATTTATATTTGATCTGTATTACAGTAAAATGTGTCATTAAGCAAATAAAATTAATTTATGTCAAAATTAAAGGTGGTCCTTCGGAAGGTGGTAACTCTCTAGTTTCTTGAACTTCTACAATTCTACTTCTAATTATATTTCCCTCTGCATCCGTTTCATCAATTGATATTAAAATATTTGAAATAACAGGCATCGATTTTCCTTCATAATTTTTTGCTTCTAACTTTTCTTCAACTCCAGTTTCTTCACAATCGTCTCCTTTATCACCCAAATCTTCATATACCTTTAAGAAAAGTAGATTTATTTATTTGTTACTGTATTTTCTTTTCTATTTTTTATGCACATTTATTTGAATTACTTTACCTCCACTTGCGGAACAGCAGAATTTTTATTTAATCTGATATTATACTTTTTATTTTGAACTTTGGACTGTGTAGCCGAAGGATTATTTTCTTCATCAACCGCTTCATATCTCACCATTTGTAATCTGTAGCATCCATCTTCATCATGAGTGTACTGAAATCTTGTGTGTCCACTAGGTAACTGGAATCTATGTGCTTCAATCAAATGCTTTGTCAATCTATAGCTCTTTCTGTATTTTATTGGACATTCATGACAGCAGTACCACCGTATTTGTACACCATGCACTCGTTCTATATGCCTTAAAATATTGAAAAGATAAATTTAATGCACTTAAAAGGTAAATATTCAATTATCTGTATTATCTTGAAATAAAAAAACTTTATTACCTATCGAGGGAATATGCACCCTTGCATGTATATAGACATCCCTCAAAATGACATGAAAAATTCGGTCCATTTGTATGAACTGACATGTGTGAATCAAGATCTTGCTGAGACTTTGCAGCATGAGTACAAAGTTGACAAGGAAAATTTCTAGTAGAAACATGTCGGTATCTTACGTGCTTAGCTAAACTAGCTGGTGATTCACAACTCATATCACAAAGACTGCATTTGTAATTAAAAACATGCAATCGCATATGATCCCTTAGGATTCCTTCCGTTGGATAAAATTTGTTGCAGTGAGAACATTGGAATCCCTGAACTATTAATTAATTTTATGTTTATAACTTTGTTATTATATTACTATAGATATATAAAACTTTCAATATTCAAAATAGGATATCAAAAATTCGAAATTGGACTTTACCATCAATTGGGATTTGCCGTTTACAATGTATATGAAATTTTGTATTAGAAGCAAATGTAGCCCCACAATCAGGGCAAGCTACCATTTTTTCTTTTGTATGACGTCGCATATGATCCCTCAATTTATATAAACTAGGATAGAAGCTTCCACAACCTGTCCATTTACATTCTAAGCCACCTTCAATTTTATTGCCCCTTGGGCTTTCTTCGGTATGAGCAGCTACATGATACAGATATAGCTGATAATTTCTAAAACATTTTAAACATTCTTCCCACCGACAAAGTAGGGGTGCTGGAAGATCCACAACATTTTTCCATTCCGAGTCTCTGCGACATTTCTATGACAAAAAGTTAGATTTCAAAGGTTCTAGTGGCTTTTCTAAATAATAAATTAGATAAGTAAGAGAATTAAAAGTTGTTGTATAATTCCTTACAGGCAGTTTAATTCTGGTACGAATATTTGATCCAATACATTTCAATTTTGTGTGATAGCCATGATAATTCACATGTCTTGAAATCTCATCGGCATCATCATTTTCATAAAAACAACCACTCCATCGACACACATAAACACCGACACCTTTATCGTTAATCCGTGTACCCAAATCAGATACATGTTGGGCTACATGTTTTACAAATCTTTCAACGTTATTGTTTTCATATTCACAATCAGTCCATTCGCAATTTAAATGAAAAATCTCGCGTTTTAGTGGCAGACCAACTCGTCTCCTTTTTGTACCAATTTCTGATACAGAGTCAAACTCAGAATCGGTGTTGCAGCTATCATCATCATCAGTTTTTCTTTTTTGATGTACTTCATCAGTATAAGTAAAATTTTTTTGAGATTCCACCCATTCATTACACCGTTGCTGCACATCCTTACTAGTTATTAATTTTTTTACAAATTCAGCCATATTTATCAAATTTAATATTTATAGGAAAGTTATAGTTTTCAATTTATATATGAACATGTGTATTTATATAATTTATTTAAGAACTCAGTTATAAATATACGTGTTTTTTACTGTATTATTATATACCTATTTTTCCATATTACATACAGACATAACAGTAACAAGAATCTAGAAACTGAAATCGTAATTTAAATCTCAATTTTGATTTAAAAATTATTATGTACATAATATCTTGCTCGTAACATCCACCTTAGATCACTTTTATCAATGCCTGTGTTTAATATATATGTATGTTATATACTTGGGTTTAAGTACTTAACCTGTTCATAATTCGATACGTTCTAAATATCAATATAAAGTCTAGTATTTACTAAAATTCGTGATATTTTACTGATGAATGTTAAAATGTTTACATCTAAACAAATATTAAAATTATTGGTTGCCTCAGCGGAAAAAAGAAGCTCTGTTCTTCCACCACAAATATCACTACATAAACATTTCAGTGAACGGAAAAGATGTTCTACAATTTATGCACTTTCTTCTGGTCATTATGTACACTGTTTCTATATTTTTCGTATAGTACACTTTTTATTACGAAACTACGTAAAACAGATACTTTTAACGTGCATATTATTTAGATACTCTTCTTTACAAGTAACTTAGTATTCCGCCAATTTCGCCTGCGCATGCGTTCCGCAAGTTTAAAAATATTTTAAGATGTTCATCATGTATATGTAGAAATATATTAAAATGAAGCAGATATAATATTTCTGATATTGATTTTATAACAAATATATTTCTCGAATAACTTACAATTTTGTTAATATTAAAAAATTGCAACAAATGTGTTTAAATTTTTTTGTGTAATTTGATGAATTTTAGAACAGAACCATAGTACACAAAGTAGTTTCAAGTCAGTTATGGATTGTTAATTAATAGAAGTTTCTCTGAAAACCAATTCAAATATATCTAAATATGTTATGATTTTTTAACTTATATATAAATTTGTCATTTAATAGGATATGGGAAATGTGGCGTAGCAGTAATTCGGATATCTGGTCCAGATGCATCAATTGCTTTACAAAAAATGACTAGAACGTCAAATTTAGAACCTAGGAAAGCTGTTCTGAGAAAGATCTATGATCCAGAAACAAAAGAATTTTTAGATAAAGGCCTATGTCTTTGGTTTTCAGGTAATGTAACTATTGATAACAAAGAAAGACTTTAGTCATATACAGATACTTATTTATTTAAGTAATTATGAAACATACATAATAGATAGTTATAAATTTCAGAACCTAATTCATTTACTGGAGAGGATTCTGTAGAATTTCATGTTCATGGTGGTCCTGCAGTAATAATATCAGTTCTTGAAGCACTTTCAAAATTGAATTTTCAACTTGCATCTCCTGGAGAATTTACAAAAAGAGCTTTTCTAAATGGAAAAATAGACTTAACTGAAGCAGAGGGCATAGGAGATTTAATTGATGCAGTAACTGAAAAACAACGTAAACAGGTGCATAATATATCACAAATAAACAATATTATCAATAATTTGCTACATCATGATTCAGTACAAGAGTTATACTAGACTCTCTCTAAGCATAATATGTTGATTATTTATATTTAACAGGCTTCTAGTCAAACCAGTGGTTCTCTTCGCCATCTCTATAACTCCTGGAGGGTAATTCTTTTAAATTCGCTTGCTAACTTGGAAGGTTATATTGATTTCTCTGAAGAACATAGCCTGGAACATGGTATTTTAGAAAATACAAAAACAATATTGCAAAATTTGTATACAGAAATTCAGCAACACTTGTCTGACGGAAGAAAAGGAGAAATTCTGAGAACTGGAGTACGCGTTGCAATTCTTGGAAAACCAAATGTAGGAAAAAGTAGTCTTTTGAATCTCCTTTCTAGAAAAAATGCAGCCATTGTAACTTCACTTCCAGGCACAACAAGAGATGTTATAGAATTAACAACAGATATATGTGGTTATTCGATGATTCTTATAGATACTGCAGGAATTAGAAATGACCCAGAGAATGAAATAGAGGAGGAAGGTATCAGAAGAGCAAAAGAATGCACAGAAATAGCAGATCTTGTTATATGCTTAATAAGTGCAGAAATTGACTTTAAATGTTCTTACAAAGAGTTCATAGAACGTTACAAGAACCTTTTAGAAATAAAAACTGACAATGTTTTAATAGTAGTTAATAAAATAGATTTACTAGAAGAAAAAAACAAACAAAGATGGAAAAACCACAATGTTATACCAATTTCTTGTAAAACACAAGAAGGTTTACAACAACTTACAAATACATTAGGAGAACATTTAAAAGAAATGTACGTATTACAATGTTTCTTATTTTTATTAAAGAAAATATAAATTTATGATTACATAAATAAGACAATAAAATAATTTAAAATAGAATATAATAATTTTCAAATTTTTATTTACAAATTTTATACATAGATGTAGCAATTACTCATTAAAATTTTTTCATTTCAGATGCGGCGATCCAACTGAAGAAAATCCTGTGATTAGTCATGCAAGATATAGAAACCACTTAACAAATGTTATAAAACACATTGAAGCCTATTTAAAAAGGACAGAAATGCAAAATTATGACATGGCCATATCTATAGAAGATATTAGATCTGCAGCAAGAGAATTAGGAAAAATAACAGGCTGCATTAACAGTGAGGAAGTTCTTGATATTATCTTTATTAATTTTTGCGTTGGAAAATAA